GCCAAGTCATCATTGCTATTCAGTGATAGGAGAATCCAACTACCAAGAACTCTTATTTTGTACCCAGTATGACAGAACTCTTAGGATTAATGATTTCAGTCAATTACCCAAGAATAGAGAAATAAAAGAGGTATGCCACAGATCAAAAGTGACTTTTTTATGGAATAGAAATGATGGCTGGTCACCTGTTTCTTCTTAGCCACCTGAACATTGTTGGTTATCTGCGATGGACATGGTTTGACCACTGTGACTTTTTTCTCTCAGTCCTCTTTCCAGGCTTTCTGTTTTCATTCACCCCATGAACATTCTCTCTAGATTTTTATCTTAGTCCTTAAGGGCTCCAACTATCATATAGATGGATCCAGTTCTCTGACTCCAACTTTGACTTTTCTTCTAAGCTCCAGATTCACACACATTTACCTCTACCTACTGGCCACTGCCACCTCTAACTCAATATGACATTGTCTAAATCTTTCAATTGCTCCCCAAACCTACTCCTCCTCTGCTATTTCATACTTTGGTTAATATCACTGACATCCTTCCAACCAGAAAAAAAAAGAAAAGAAATCTTGGAATCATTGAAAATACAAAGATAAGTATGGCATAATTTTGCCTTTAAGAAATAGTTAATTTAAGTCAATGCATGTAAATTTCTCCGTTTTTACAACAAACAAATTCTCTTTGGAACTTAGAATTCTGCTTTTCAATAAGAATGTAAATTATTCTTATTTATAAACTTGTCAATTAAATTGAGATCCTTTGGTAAAAAAAATATTTTTTTTCAGACTATTGAGTATTCAAAATATAAAAAAGTGAATAAAATTAGAGATAAGAGACCTTGGTAACTAGATGAACATATTTTTTAAAGAAAACTTGAGTATATATTTATTAATGTAAAGTATTTATATATAAAATCCTAAGTGACTGCATCACTAAATGACCAAATGACCAGTTGACCAGTTGCTGTGACGTGCACTGACCATAGGGGGCAGATGTTCAATGGGTCAGTGAGCTCCCACAGCCAACCTTCTAGAGCCAGCCAAACTCCCATGGCCACTGGCCAACCTCCTGAGGTCCCTCCCCCCAGCAGGCTGGCCTCCCCCACTGACCCCAATTTGTGGGGGGGAGGAGTTGGCAAGCCAATCTCCCACATCCCTCCCCCCTGCCAGCAAGCCAACCTTCCAGGGCCTATCCCCACTCTAGGAGGCCCTCCCCCATCAGCTCTGATCACCAGCCATGCCGAGGGACCCCACCCATGCACAAATTCGTGCACTAGGACTCTAGTTGTTAATATTATCCTTTAAATCATTTATTATGCTTTTTATAAAAAAGTTATGATAATCATGGAGAAAATATACAATGATCCCCCGTACCCAAACCTAGTCTCAAAAGTATTAATTTAGACCATGTCTTATTTCATCTATACCCACTCACTGCAGCCCAAGATATTTTAAAGCAAATCACAGATAATGCATAATTTCATTTGTAAATATTTCTATGTATCTCTAAATGACAAGGCTCCTTTTGCAAGCATAACTATAGTGCTGTTATCACAGTTTAAAACAGTAATAATAAGTCATTGATATCATTAATATTCTGTTCAGATTGCCTTGATTTTCTCATAACTTATTTTATAGTTTATTTGAACAAAGCATGATCTAAGATTCTTACTCTGCAATTGGTCTTAAATCTCTCTTGCTCTTTTTCTTTGTTTCCTTCATTCTCTTTCTCTCTTTTCTTAACTGTTTTTATAATAGAAATAGAGGCCTTGTGCATGAAATTCTTGCAATTGGTGGAGGAGGGGGAGTCCCTCAGCCTGGCCTGTGCCCTCTAAGCAGTCTGGGAACCCTTGGGGGATATCCAACTGCCAGTGGGGAGAGGGCCTAAGTGGGCAGTTGGACATCCTTAGTGTTGCCATGGAGATGGGAGAGGCTCCCACCACTGCCACTGTGCTCGCCAGCTGTGAGCCTGGCTTCTGGATGAGTGACACTCCCCTGTGGGGGTGCACTGGCCACCAGGGGGCAGCTCCTGTGTTAAGCATCTACCCTCTGGTGGTCAGTGCCTGTCTGCTGTTCGGTTGATTTACATATTAGCCTTTTATTATATACGATGATACAATACAGAAAAACTTGAAACAGGAGTTAATGAATGATTATAAAGCAAACACCACTCAGGTTCAGGAGTAGAATGTTGCCAGTTACTTTCCAAATGTCTTATGTCAGTCCCAGCTCTTCTGCAACTTGCTGAAGTAGCCACTACCTATGTATTTTTATAGTAAAATTACTTCCTTGTTTTCTTTTCTAATTATATCAACTATAGTACATCCTTAGACACTGTAGTCACATCAATTTTTAAATTTGTCTTATATGTTTCTTTTAATCAATATGTTCCCTCAACATACATTTTTTTTTTTTTCTCATTGAATTTCTGTTGAATAACCCAAGGCATTTGGCATATAGTTTTCCACAGTCCAGATTTTGCTGACTACAAACTTGTGGTGCAGACCAATATATTCTTCTGTGCTCTATATTTCTTGCAAAATGGCGGCAATATCTAAAATCTACTTGGCAGAATTATAATTGATACTGTTCTTTCATCGGAAGGAATGTACCTGACTGCTACCCTTTTTGTGACGGTAGCTGTCATTGATGCTTAATGCTTAGATTTACTGTCATTGTGGTTTCAAACTGATGATATAACTTTATAAAAACATACTACTCTGCACCATTTCATAACTAAATGTACATTTCTTACAGGAAAGGCAGAATAAATACTTGATTTTTCTCGCTTATTATTTAGTTTTCAAGATAACAAATTGACATCCTATCATCATCCAAAGGTAATCAACTAAGCATTTTGGAATAGCGTTAAGAACTTATTGGATTTAAACTTAATTCATGATATTTCACATATTGTAATTAATATTCTTGCATTTTAACATTTTAGCTAATGGAAAACTTTTAAAATCGGCTCCTAAGTAATTTCATTATTAATGACTTAATCATTTACAGACAAATGTTAAATTTTTTCAACTATGATTATGGATTTGTCTTTTTAGTCCTTTACTTCTGTAAACTTTTGCTTCATGCATTTTGAAACACTATTACTAGGCACACATACTTTTATTATTTTTATGCTTTATTGATGAATTGCCCCTTTTATTATTCTGAAAATTCCCCTTTATCTTCAATAGTACTCATTGTTTTAAAGTCTACTTTATATGATTTTGGTATATACATTTTACCCTTCTTATTTTTATTCATCAATTAACTTTGGTTTAAATTATTTTCTCTCTTCTACTTTCTGTTTATCTTAAGGCATCATTTAGTGTATTCATTTGCTGTGATGTTCCTCTTAATGTAGCTTCATTTCTAAAATGACTTTCTTCTAAGTTGTTACTGAGCTTTATAATTTCTGGACATTTATAATTCAAGTTTATTTGTTATTCTCATCTTGAACCATTTCTTAATTTTTGGCTCATTTTTCAAATAGTGAATTAAAATATATCCTTCTGGCATGATTTTTCCCCCCTGCAGAATGTTATTCTGCTTCTTATTCTCATTTTTCTTATAATTTTGAATGGGAGCTTTACCTGGCTGCTCATTTTCATGGGAAGTAGTTTGTTTGTTTTACAATCTGGCAGGATTTTCTAACTTCAGAGAGATTCCTCTTCAAAAGTATGGTCTTGAGATTTCCTGACTGTTCTGCTATTCCCATTCTTCTCTTCCCTTCCTCTCTACAGGGTGGGCAAAAGTAGGTTTACATTTGTTTATATGAAAAATAATACCATAATTAATAAGAATACAAGAATAAACTCTGTGTTTCCCATACTCACAACTGTAAACTTAATTCTGCCCCTGCATTATTCTGATGTTGTCTACTTATGATTCCACTTCCAGCCATTTCTCCTCTCTTTGGTAGTTATTTTGCAGAGTTCAAGGCACAAAAAACAATTCCAAACCCTTCAGAAATTCTTATTATAGACACCTTGGACGCACCCTTCCCAAATTCAGCTGCCGTTCTTACGTTGGCTTACCATGTTTTCCAATGAGTATCTATTGGTTTTTGACCACTCAAGTCTGCCTTATACCACACTATTTCCACCTACTACTTTTCTCTATAGACACTGATTTTACATAGGTTGTGTTTTTGGCTTGACTCACTTGTTTTATTGAAAGTGATTCTTATGGATAACTTAATATTGAATTTTGTTTTAAATGTTGTTCAGGAGTATAGCTTCGGCTTATGTGAATATTTGAAGAGGTTAAAAATGTAGGCAGCTAGCCCAGCTGGCATGGCTTAGTGATTGAACACCAACCTATGAACAAGGAGTTCATGGTTCAATTCCCAGTCAAGCATACGCTCATGTTGCAGGCTCGACCCCTAGTAAAGATGTGCAGGTGGTAGCAGATCAATGATTTTCTTTCATCATTGGTGTTTCTATCTCTTCTCTCCCTCTCCCATCTTCTATGAAATCAATGAAAATGTATTTTAAAAACAACAACAATGTCGCTGATATCACACATGCCACATTCTAACACTGTCATATTTTTATTAAACACTTCCCAAATCCCTGAAATGTAGAAGAGACCACAGGTGGATTGTGTCTATAAATAAGGGCAAACATGAAATACATAGAAGTAACAAAATACTGACTAGTTAAGAAATTAAAATTCACCAGATGAATTAGCAGCTCCCTACTACACTGAGCAGAGTGGAAGAGAGAAACATTTCTCAAATTGTATTTCAGATGACGTTAATAGGACCAAGGTAGGTGTAGTAGTCCACTGAACATAATTTAAGAAATGCTGGGTTGAGGCCACGTGTCCTCCAGCACATCCTTTGAAATGTTATAAGGTGAGGAAGCATTAAAAATTGTATAAAGTCACTAAAGAATATATAAAAAATCTGATTAGAAAATTTTCAGTTTCTACATTAACTCAACAAATAATTGTTATCATTTAGAGAGGGTAAAGTGCCCTCAATGGCAGTTTGCTTACCATATACCAAGTGATGTCTGGTTTGACACTGGAAGGAAAATATCCATCTATATTTGGACAAGTGATCTTCTGAATACTATATTCTATATACAGTTTATGCACTGGGACTTTCATTGCAGATTTGAAGCAGCTATCTTTTTGAACAACTTCCAGAGGAAATGCAACTTTGCTGCAATATGTGGTATTCCTGAAAAGAAAAATATGCAATAAATGGGCAGACTCATTTGCATTTGTTTTAATGCAGTAAATTCATTAAAGTAAGCTAAGTGAAGTAATGTTATGTATTGAGACTTTATATGTGCAAGTTCATGTAAGAATTAAATATGTGTGGAGGTATTTCCTATGTAAATTGACATCATAGAATAAAAACAGAGTTAATTACTATTGATATATTAAAATAGTTATACTTTTAGATATGTTCCTAAACATGTTACATGTGTTTGAATGTACATATGTGTATGCATGCATGTATATGTATATTTAATTTTACCTGTAAAACATTATTAATAATATTCTGTACTGGTAAGGCAAAGGTGAGTATACCATAATAATTCATGGCTGATAATCAAATAAACAATCTTTAGAAAATAAATATGTTTCTAAAACTATTCTTTATAAAGCCTTAGGTTTTGCCCTAGCAATGTTATTTCTGTAAAATTTTTCACAAGGTAGATTTATGGAAAATTATTATAGAGAGAGCACGTGAACAAAAATGTCCATCCAGTGCTATATCAGCAAAGAAAACATTTGTATAAATAGAAAAATCTACTTTTTTGAAAAGTGCAATGAAATTATAAGACCATTCAAAGCTTTTTGACATATCTAAAAACAAAAAATCAAACATGAAGAAAAAAAGTAACAAACACACAAAGCTTAGGATTCTTCTTATCCCATCACCTCATATTTCACAAAGAGGTCTTATATGTGACCCTTGATGCACCCCAAATTAGGTCTCTAATTCTCGTGCATGTCCAACATTTTCTTGTGTTTATTTGGTGTTAAGTTCCTCTTAATTTATAATAGTTAAAACAAGGATATAACTATGAATATTTTCTTATAGTCTCTAGTACAGTGTCTAAACTTTCAATAGATGCTGAATAAATATTTGTGAAAATAAATGAGATAACGTCCTAGCCAGTTTTGCTCAGTGGATAGAGCATCAGTCTGTGGATGGAAAGGTCCCAGGTTACATTCATGTCAAGAGCCCACATTGTGGGCTCTATCCCCAGTAGGGGGTGTGCAGGAGAAAGCTGATCAATGATTCTTTCTCATCATTGATGTTTATATCTCTCTCTCCCTCTCTCTTCCTCTCTTAAGTCAATAAAAAATATATTTTAAAAAATGAATGAGTTAGATATAAAACTTGTGTGTATAAAAAAAGAAAAAACAATAATGAAGCATTAATAATAAAAATTGATTTTTTAAGGTGATGACTAAATGAGCCCACACATTTAATAATTTATATTTAAGGTTTCAAACACATATCAGATCCTCAATAGCTCATAAATTAAGTCTAAATATAATGGAAGGTGTGGAGGCATTCATTCCCCTCACCAAGATGGAAGGAGATATTGTTTAAGATAAACTTATAGGTAATAAGGTGGAAAGGGAGTGTGGCAGGCTTGATCTCTAACAACAAATAACAAAATATCTACCAGATAAAAGTATTTTACGGGTGGAAGTTATAAAAGGTAAAGTTCAGCTTAATTAGATACATTTTCTGATTTAAAAAAAAAAGGTGATGAATAGTGATTGGGCAGATTTTTCTAGCTCCAAAATAAGATCTGGATGCCATCTTAATAAGGTATTTAAGAAAGAATAGGAGATGAAAGATGGTGGCCAATAGGACGGCAGGCTGCAGGATACTGTGTGAGAGAGTGAAAAGAGAGTGTGTAGATGTGCAGGGAGTATCTATATTTGTGTGTGAGGGATAACTATATTCCACAGAACTATTGGGGACTGACAGACCAGACTCCCATGGCTGGATAGCTTCTATTGCTGCTGAAATCTCTCTGGGTATGACCAACTCTGCCACAGATACTGCCACAGAGACATCTTAAAAGGGAGAGCAGCTGTGATTGGAAGTCCAGCCTTACCTTCAAATGGGGAGACTTTTGATACCTCCCAGGATTCTACAACCACAATGCAAAGGGGCTATCTGACTCAGCTGAGAACCCACAAAATCTGACACTCCAGCATCCCCAGCCATGGTGCCTAAGTTTTTTTGCAAGGGGAGATAAAGCAGTGTTGAATACAGACAGGCCCTGCACCTTTACATAGAGCAGATAGAAAGAACAGCTGACTGGAATAATATCCATATGGAATTGGCAAATTAAACACAGCTGGTAAATCTATGGATGGAAAGATCAGAGATTACCAAGAGTCAACACAGAAGATAGAGAGCTACATAACCAGACACCCTAAGAGGAGCAAACATGGGGAGACAAAGAAACAGCCCAGGTAGCAGAAATAGCAGAAAAAACCAGAAATGGAAGTAAATGAAATGGAGGCAAATAATATGTCAGAGAAAGAATTCAGAGCAATAGTAATAAGGCACTGAAAAGGTAGGAAGATAAATTCAACAATATGTGTAAGAACCAAGAGGAAATGAAGGAGAACCAAAAAGAAATGAAAAATGACACCACTGCTATAAAGAATAAAATAGAAAGCATCAAAAGTAGACTAGAGTAGACTAGGAGAACTGCATCAGTGAGCTATAAGACAAGGTAGGAAAAAATAGCCAAGCACAACAGCAATTAAGGGAAAAGAAAATTTTCAAAAACAGGGCGAGAGCCTAAGGGAACTTTGGGACAAAAGAAAATGAAACAACAACCACATAATAGGGGTCCCAGAAGGAGAGGAAACTGGGTAAGAAATAGAAAACCTCTGAAGAAATAGTGACATAAAACTTCCCTGATATTAGGAAGAAGAAAAAATTCATACAAGTCCAAGAAGCTCAGAGAATTCCCAACAAGATGAATCCAAAAAGATCAATAAGACACATTATAATTAAATTGACAAACACCAGCAACAAAGTAAGAAACTTAAAGGCTGCCAGAGAGAGACAGAAAGTTACCTACAAGGAATCTCCCATTAGATTATAAACTGATTTCTCAACAGAAACACATCAGGCAAGAAGAGAATGGAATTAAATAGACAAAGTTATGTAAAGCAAGGGTCTGAATCCAAGAATACTGTACCCAGAAAGACTATCAATCAAAGTGGAGGGTGAAATTAGGAGTTTCACAGACCAAAAAAAAGGAGTAAGGGAGTTTATTACCACCAAACCAGCAATAAACTTCTATAAAAAGGAGAAATATAAAGGGAAGAAGGAACACAGACATAAAGAATAAAAATGGTGAAAACAATTACCTACCAATAACAACCTTAAATGTAAATAGATTAAATGCCCCAATCAAAAGACATAGGGTAGCTGAGTGGATAAGAAAACATGACCCATATACTACCTTGTTTCCCCGAAAATAAAACATCCTCCGAAAATAAGACCTACTTACAGGTTTCCTTCTGAGTGAAATATAAAGCATCCCCCCAAAAAATAAGGCGCACCCTAGGATCTGTCTCAGAATGAAAATTAATTTACTGTAAACTGGTCGATAGGGCCGCCCCAACTGGAGCCTAGCAACCAGTGACATTACGCGGAGTCCTGATGTCACTGCTATGTGGAGGCAGAGCAGAGGTCTGAGTGAGTGGTGAGCACAGGGTGGGAGAGAGGAGGAGACTTTCACAGGTGCATGTAGAAGAACAGGAGATTAGAGTGGAAGGGATGCGGCGAAGGTGGTGAGTGCTGGTCTGTCTCTGGTGATACTTCCTGATGCTCACGGCCACCCTCATGATGAATGAAGATTCTCAGTCAGTGGCAGACTCTGTTCCAGCCCAGATCCAGGCCCCAGCAAGCCCAGTGATAATCCCCAGGCAGGCCCCAGGGGGTAAATGTCTGATAAAGGGGTAGGGGGAATGTCTGGTGAAGATGTTCATTGGCACAGGGGTGGGGGGAGGGGGATCACTTAAAATGACACAGGAGGATCAGAAGGGGCAATCATAATGACACAGGATGATCAAAAGGGGTTACTAAAATGGTAATCCCCCTCTGATTCTCCTGTGTCATTTTAAGTGATCCCCTCCCCCCACCTTGATATCCCATTTATTTTATTTTATTATTATTTTTTTTACCCCTAGAAATGAGCGCAAAAAGAACAAGCTACTCCGTGGAGTACAAGAAAGGAATCGTGCAAGACTCTTGGGGCCAAAATCTTACTGCTTTCTGCAAAGAGAAGATGTTGAGTATCCGATTGGTCCAAAAATGGCGAGCAGAGAATGGTAACCTCATTGAACAAGTGGACAAGGGAAATGCTAAAAAGCACAAGTGTGGATCAGGTTGGCAACCATTATTTTCCGAGCTGGAAGACCTGATCTGTGAATGGGCTGTTGACAGGAGAATAGAGGCTTTGGTTGTGAATAGGGCTCAGATCCAAGAATTTGACCTTACAATTGCAACACAGTTTGCAAATTGTCCATGTGCATCACAACACTGGCTGGATAATTTCCTTCAAAGCATCACAACACTGGCTGGATAATTTCCTTCAGAGAAGTGAACTGTCTTTAAGAAGATCTACAACATTGTTTAGGTTGGAAGATACTCAAGTTATTAAGCGAACACTTGCATTCAAGTCCTTTATTGATAATGCTGACTTCTCTAAATACAATCTTTCCAACATGATTACTATGGATGAAACTGCAGTGTTAATCGGCCAATCATCTCAAACAACAATTGAATAGCGGGGTGCCTCCTTAGTATACATTCCCTCCACTGCTTATGAAAGTGCATGTGTTTCCTGTATTTTGGCAATGCGTCTGGATGGCACTAAAATCCCACCTTTAATAATTTCTAAGGGCAAGAAGGAAAAGATTGAATGTGTTTTGGGCATTTTTATTCTTGAAACTGAAAAAGCCTGAGCCACACAAGCAGTTATAAGGAAGTGGGTCAATTTAATGCTGCTGCTTGTTATGCGAGGGAGCCAAAGAGGTCTGCTAGTTTGGGATGCAGCCAGCACTCACTGTGCTAAAGACATGAAGACATTTCTTCACCAAAGAAAAATAGGTCAGATAATGATTCACACAGGAATTATGGCCTATCTCCAGACTCTTGATATTGCAATAAACAAGCCA